GTAATCAGCTATTGATGAAGTTGCTGTTGTACAGTAATCAGCTATCGATGAAGTTGCTGTCAGGCAGTTATCGATGAAGTTGCTGTTGTACAGTAATCAGTTATTGATGAAGTTGCTGTCAGGCAGTTATTGATGAAGTTGCTGTTATCAGGCACAATTCTGATCAGTTGCTGAGCTGATCAGACAGAGCAGGAAGTGACACACACTTGTTCCAAGCTAAACAATGATGAACAAGCTCTACTTGAGATATGGCTTGGAGGTACACAGCTATGATGTGAGATAGTCGTGTTGTTGGCTGACAACACAGATACACTCAAGTGTTTGTCAGGAACGTTGCAGGAGCTGTACGGAATGGGAGAGTTGGTGCAACACAACTTTGAACAGTGTTTCAGTCGCATCACAGCAGCTTGATGTGGGAGAGCATCTGAGTTGAGTCAGTCCCAGGTGATCTGCGATTTAGCAATCGTGAAAAGATTTGCAGAAAAATCATTTTCATTATTTTCAAGATACAAATATGAATCCTGCAATAAAACAAAATGTGAAATAAATTAATTCTCACATTTAGACGTCCTCTTTTCTAGACCTAATGAACTTTGTTTTCATCTTACCATAAATAGTATCAGTGACACTATGCATGACTGAGAAAACATCTCACACTAACGCACCTTGTGTCCGTGCAGGCACAGCGGAACCATGTGACCGAGACCACGTGACCGAGACCACGTGACCAAGACCAGTAACTCGGCACTCTATTTTTCGCACAAACCATGTAGTCTGGAAACATTTCTGTTCTCATTAGTCAATAAGCCAGGATAAGAATAAATAATATTATTACTAAAAAAATACATTTTTGCGTCCATTCTCTACATTTGTGCGTACTGGACGCAGGTTTGTGCATCGAGTAAACTTTGTAGACTTTTTATGTTACGTAGCACAAAAGTGATATGCCTTTAAAGTAATTGTGAAACACCTAGATGTCAGGTTACTGCATGAAAGACAGCTGTTGCAATGTAAGAATATGTTACAACCTAAAACTGTGATGCAGCAAGATGTAGCTTACCAAAACCGATATATTCATTGTGTGCTACTTTTATTGCCTCTGTCACTCTTTAAACAAAATTGACATTGACAGAGCACAAACCTTTTTGACATGTGAAGAAAAACTTGACACAATCAGATTGGGTTTTTCAATTAAGGAAAGTCGAGAACCTCAAGTATGAGAGATATTAGTTAATTTTCTTGAACAATGCAAGCAATTCACGTGTGCATGTTCTTACTAAGAAATACTTAACAACGCAGTTCCTTAAATAGAACATTTTTTCGTTAGGCTGCAAATATTTGGGGATAGTTTGTTTTGACAAGCGGGATAAGATTACGGGGAAATAATAGGCAAAACAAATGCTATTTGCTGTTGGTGTGAGATTGTTATAAAGGTGGTTGTCAGTACTCAGGAAGATAGCATCTTGAGGGAGATATTTTGCATTGTGATAATGTCCGGCAGTTGATTGAGAATCAGTTGTGACGGGCGGCTGATGAACTTCCATTTATTATAGGAAAAAGGAGAGAAGTTACTTAAGGTAATAGGTAACCCGACAGAAAATTGTTTGAGAAAGACGTAAGATCTGGGATCATAAGTTATGAGATATTGTGTTATTTTGATGAGACAGCCTGCAGAGATATTGCGCGAATACTGCTAAAAGCGGTGTATAACTTCACTCACTCACGCACTTGACGAGACAGCTATTGTCAGTTATGTTAGTTTCTTATGGCTGGAGATAGTGCTTGATGGCAGGCGGCATGGTACAGCCCCGGCCGAGTATCTCGTATCTGTGTCATTAAAAAAAGTTTAAGACGTCCATAAAGTTAGACATTCAGTAGAATGTATAAAAAATAACCTTTCAAGAGAGTTGTCACTTGATATAGGACCTTTTATATTTTTCGGCTTTTGAGGTTAAATTTGTTCAATAGTGAACTTCTTTGGGACTTACGACTTGTTACTTAAAGTGAGGTTACCTAGGTTATTGTGTTTGGTTGGCACTTGACGAATTTGACAACTTGTTTATCGCAAAGTCAGACTTGACAACTTCCTGAAATTGATCAGAAACCTTTCCAAACTAACCAACCCTATTTCATTCATGAATGTGCGGCTCTTTAATACAGGAACCGGGAACATTCCCTCAAATAGAAGGAAATTTGTCACTAGACCCCTCTTGAGATTGCCGATGTTCGGGATTAAGTTGCAGCTGACATGTTGCAGACCTGCATATATGTCATTCATGAAAACACACTGCTTCTCATTCATTAAACTTGTCAGAATTTATTTAAACTGGAGGGGGAGGTTGGGATTTTGCTACTTACGTCAGTTTCCATGGTAACTATCAACTATTCATATAACAAGTATTTATATATGAAACCATTTGGAGTGGCCATTAATTATTTTACACCGGAAATGTGCTGTCAAATCTGTTTTTATTATGGTTATTTGTGATGAAAAATTGCTGTATATTGATATTATACATTGTGAAATATAAGATCATGTTTCCATGGAAACTAGTAATTGAAGTCAATTAGGGATTAGTAGTATTGTTGTGAATATATTTCATAAATGGTTATCACTTTCAATTTTTTTTTACAAAATTAAATTGTTGTATTTAAAGGATGTAACGTTTCACAACTTTTTGAAAAGTTAACAGAAAGTACGTTCTGGTCAACAGGGTTGTTTTGAAAAGAAATATCCGAGTGAATCACAAATTGATTTCCTAATGGTAAATGATCTCAAACCGTGATAAGCAGATCCATGGTCATTGAAGCACCAAATTGTAGCCACTGCGAGTCGTCAGTGTCTGTCCTTCTCCATGTAGTCATCGCCAGGGCCAATTGAGGAGTGTCGTTCTTATCAATATTCCTTTCGGCATTCATGTTGATTTCACACTTCGATTATCATTTACGATTTTATCACACGAGATTTTCTGAAGGTGACTTAGTCGTGAAATTGTATATAAAAGATGAAGCAATGAAAGAAAGAGAGTGGAATTCTATTGGCTGTTTCTATTTAAGAATGGGTGATGCATTTACGACCATCCCACAGCGGAAAAAAATGTAATCACCCATGGGATTAAATTGAGATTTTTTTGGTTACATTTTGATGTTTTCAAATTTAGATATATTTATATTCCTGAATATATTTTTCCCTTCACCATCCAACATGAATAAGTTATGCATATATACTACTCTCAACAAGTAAGGGAACACTCACAATAGAAAGGGCATAGTGCAATACACACCAGCCATGACAGATTAGCTGTAGCTTATGAAGAGTTGGGTGTGTCTCTCTCAGGTATGATAATTGTTATTGTTAATCCTTCACCTACCGTATATATACATAATTCTGTAGCATGTAGCAACCCATGCTTGCCGTAAAAGGTGACTATGCTTGTTGCAAGAGGCGACTAACGGGATCGGATGGTCAGGCTCGCTGACTTGGTTGATGCATGTCTTCGATCCCAATTGCGTGGAGCGATGCTCATGATATTAATCACTGGACTGTCTGGTCCAGACTAGATTATTTACAGACCGCCGTCATATAGCTGGAATATTGCTGAGTGCGGCGTTAAACAACAAAACAACCAACCAACAGTAGCATGTTCATGATCCAGTCCTGCTTGACAAAGGTACAAAGCTCTATTCTGAAATGTCGCTAGTACAATATAATAAAAAAGTTGTTATCCCTGATTTTTGGTCTACTTTGTCATCCGTCAACTTCTAAGAAATGCCTGTCAAACAAATCATGCTATAACTTCTTTGGTTGGTATTATATATATATCTTTGTTCACAGTCGTCTTGAGGGTGCTTTGTATGCTTATATGCAATTCTCCACAAAACTCGTTACATATAGAATACATTCTTGATGTCTTTTCTGGATATTTGCATGTAGACTTGACTGGTGATCAAGGATTCAGTTTTAGGAAGAAGACATTAATCTAGAGTTTAATTCAAGATGTTTTATACGTTGTACTTTTCAAGTCAAAATGTTTCTTTCATGTAAAATATTAATTTCACGATTTTGAAAATCTTACTTTTTCTGTTAGTTTTATTGTGACCTGGTGAATTTACTCTCAATAGCTATGGTGAATAATGAGGTGGAAGTAATTTTGTTTTCGAACTTTTCCCATTTCTTAGTCACGATGGGTGACTGTGTCGGTATGATACTCCAAATGTACGCATTCTGCAATTCAAAGACCCGGCGTTTTTATGACTGTTTACCAGTTTCTGCAATCGATAAGTATTAGATTTGCTTGAGTTGTGAATTCGATTATCACGGATGGGTATTTATGGCTGTGATTTGCTGCTTTACACCAAACTGCGTGTTGGTTTTTGCAAGTGTGGAGCCCACCATGACGCCTAGGCATCGCCATGTTCTACATCATCTGACAACCCACAATTGACATTTGGATTTTAGAGCCGCGATTTTATCAAATTTATTCATTAATATTTGTGTGTGGGTGCAGAGTAGGTTTAAGCTCGGAGGACAATTACGACCTGTGGCGACCATCATGGCTGTTTGTTCACTGCTGCTACTACTTTCCTGAAGACCCGTGTGATCAGGTCACCTCAATGACATCTAAATAGCTTTTCAGCTTTTGATGCGGAAAGAAAAGTAAAATTATTAAAAGTTGTTCCTACGAGATTCTGTGATATTAGAAGTTAGGCAAACTTTAGGATGGGACTTTGGCTGAAAGTTCCATCCATCGTACGGGTTTCACAAGTTAAGCTGAGGATGAGTAACGGTATGCGATTTGTTTAGATGAGAACGATATTTAGATCAGTACTCGGAGGGATCTCATTGGTTTGACTTCGGTAGTCAATCGTTTGAGTGGAACTATTGCCTCTTGTCTGAGAATATTGCGGTGCAGAAACATCGACTTACTTGTCTTGAAGCTGGATGAAAGTTTTGATGTACATATTTGGTTATTTAATCATGGCGTTGTTCTCTCTTGCAGGTACACACCTTGTTAGCAACATATGAGCAGGTGGAAAGTATGTGCGATGATAAGAGACTGGCGTAAAGGAAGTGAACACGACAATGAGGAAATGCTGCACGGAGCTGTATGCACTGGGGAGCGCCATCTGCCTGCTGTTGGCCTCATGCCTGTCACTAGCAAGGGGAGGTAAGTCACATTTTTGGGCTAAACCAAATATAGTTACAAATCTAAAAATCGTTGGCCATGTTATAAGTATTGGGAATATTTACTGTATTTATTACTATTTATCGCTGGTTTGAAGGGGAATGTGCCCTGTGTTGCTGTATAGAGTTATGTCCCTTAGTCGTGCAAGGATAGGCTGATAACCTAGAATGATTCACATACTCACAACATGGAGCTTTCCATTTACAAAATTGCCTCAGAAAGTCTGTCTAAAAATTCTTAACACACATATGGTAAAGTGTTTACTTAAAAAATTTTTACAATACAGGTATTTTCAAAGTGATTAACCAATTCCAGAATAGTTTAAAAAAAAAGAGTTGCTTCCCTTAGTATAATATATTTTTTTAAATCAAAATATAAAAGTCGGTATTATTATGACTATCAGAACACCTCTTTGCAACATGGGCTGAAAATAGACGTTTCTCAAACAAGTTCTTTGTGCTGCAAACATAAGATGATTGTGTATGATTATTTTTTTGGAAGGAGGTATTGTTTTTTGGCCCTGGAACTTACCTCTTTATAAGGGTGACACATGTTCGTTTCTTCCTGGTGATTTTATGGTCATTTGATGATAAGAGTTTAGATGAATCGTAACTCATGTCTGTTCTCAAAATAAGCTTGCTCAATTTTTGATAAAATGTTTGAAATTATCTGTTAGATGAAGCAGCTTAAGTGGCAAGTTCTACATGACCGTTTGAAGAGGGAGAACTGTTTCTTGTACGCCTCAAGTAAAGATGAAGAAAAAGGGAGATTTATGGATATTACATGTCAAATTTGTATTTCTCAACTTTAAGTAAAAACTCCAGGAAAAGCCATAGATATGTTGTTGAAAAAAACGCTCGTCACCAGATGTGGGATTCGCCCAGTAATGATTCGCAGTTTCGCCGTCTCATGGGAATCGCAAGAGCTAGGATAGAGATTTGAGCTTCAATATTCACTGGATGATTCTCCTTTGGCAACCTGAAAAGTGATGGCTCAAATTGCTGACTTTTCAAAAAAGAGTGTTCCGCCATATGTCCTTGATATCAGTTTGAAAAATATGGAAAATATTTAATCTGCAGAATGGCAGCGATAGCGCTTGAGAATGTTTCAGTTTGTAAGTATGCCCTGGGGTTATAGGTGGAGTTAATTAGGGAACACTCGGAGGAAGAAAGCCCAAGAATGAGACCTTTGTCTTGCTGGGTAATGTTAGTGTTGAAGGGCTGGGACATCAGTTGACCTTTTGTCTTACATGGAAATACCATCCCCCAAGGCGGGGACTAGGACAAGGCAATATTTTGCTATCTAAAAAGCTGGTATGTCTTGTGATGGGTACTATCTGGGCTATGCATAACTGAGACATGCATTGTGGGGCTGAAATAGAGGAACTCTCGCACTGGCAGAGATGGGATGGGGTGGAGGGGCATGGATTGTGTAGCAGGGGGTGGAGGAGGGGCATGGATTGTTTAGCAGGGGGTGAGGGGACATGGATTGTGGGGCTGAAAAAGAGGAACTCTCGCACTGGCAGAGATGGGATGGGGTAGAGGGGCATGGATTGTGGGGCAGGGGGTGGAGGGAAGTGGATTGTGGGGCAGGGGGTGGAGGGACATGGATTGTGGGGCAGGGGGTGGAGGGACATGGATTGTGGGGCAGGGGGTGGAGGGACATGGATTGTGGAGCAGGGGATGGAGGGACATGGATTGTGGAGCAGGGGGTGGAGGGACGTGGATTGTGGGGCAGGGGGTGGAGGGACGTGGATTGTGGAGCAGGGGGTGGAGGGACGTGGATTGTGGAGCAGGGGGTGGAGGAACGTGGATTGTGTAGCAGGGGGTGGAGGGACGTGGATTGTGGAGCAGGGGATGGAGGAACGTGGATTGTGTAGCAGGGGGTGGAGGGACATGGATTGTGGAGCAGGGGATGGAGGGACGTGGATTGTGGAGCAGGGGGTGGAGGGACGTGGATTGTGGAGCAGGGGGTGGAGGAACGTGGATTGTGGAGCAGGGGGTGGAGGGACGTGGATTGTGGGGCTAACAGATGGATCAGAATGGGCAGATAGCTTGTAGATGTCCCAGACTCCCATGTCACTCTGTCTGTACCCTGGCTGTCTCTGCGGGCTGCTGAGGTTGAAGGTTGCATGCAGGGGTTGCAAGGCCATGTTCAACCCTCACCTTGATATTTGGAACATGGTAAAAGATTGTTTATAGCTGCTGAATGGATTAAATATAGACTTGTCGTCCACTGGCGAGGGTGGAGAATAGCAGAGCCATATGGTCGGGATCTTGCCCTCCCTTGTTTAACACAGGCATATTTCTACTCAATTGTGTTGTGTCAGCAGTTGGTATGTCAGAGTTTTGAATTTATTTATTTAAATCAGTATGCAATTTTGATAAAATATGCCAACGCTTTAAGGCTTGAACCTCAGTAAGTATGAGTGAGCGGGTATATACTGGAGTACAGATATCAATATTCAGTTTTCATGTTGCGTCAGGGTTGCCTGTAAGTGATGGGCGAGGCAGACCAGTTAATGATGTCACATTCACTCACTCATTCAATCATTCGCCCAAGCACTCACTCAATCACTCGACCGCCACCCTGGTCTAGTGGTAGAGCGTCCGCCCGGAGAGCGGAAGGCCGGGGTTCGATCCCCGGCCGTGTCATACCAAAAGACGTGAAAAGATGGTACTTGTTCTTACCCTGTCTGGCGCTCGGCATTAAGGGGCTAAAACAAGGACTGGTCGGACCGGAGTCAGTATACTGTGTCTGAGTGGGGTATTCATGTTAAACTGCGGCATGGTAATCACAGTGAGCTAGCACTATAAATCGGCATCAGTCCGGACTAGTACAAGCAGCCACACAAACACATACACGTACATGCACGTCGCTATATAAGTGCAATAATCTTGGACGCGACGTTAAACCCCATTTCACCTCCCCTCACCTCACTCAATCACTCGCTCACTTAATTGCTCAATCATACACTCACTCACCTTCCTCCTTCCAAACCATGCTCTGTCCCCCCCACTCACTCACTCACTCACTCATTCTCTAAGTCCCGAATCTGGTTGTATTCAGAGTAGTGGAAGGTCATCCTGGATTAAGAGGATGACAGTGTTCATGTCATGAGTATCACCTTCCTAACCATGCTCTGTCCCCCCCACTCACTCACTCACTCACTCATTCTCTAAGTCCCGAATCTGGTTGTATTCAGAGTAGTTGAAGGTCATCCTGGATTAAGAGGATGACAGTGTTCATGTCAAGTGTATCACCTTCCTAACCATGCTCTGTTCCTGGTATGCAGTAATAGCCAACCTATATGATGATAGTGTTACTCAAACTGAACTTATTTCCCTCCAGTTTCAAAGACAGGCCCAGCATGACTCCCTCCATTAAAAAAAGTGAATGTTTCATCACAAAATTAAATAGCTGTACTAATGCTCCAGCTAGTATTTGTCCAATTTTATAACTGGAATGATTTAAATATCATCAAAGGCTGGGAGGGTAATAGGTGGCATCCCAGCATGCATCTGTGGAAATGGGAGGTAATTCGCCCCCGAAAAATGAATTGGTACAGAAGTGGCATAAAGAAATAATTTTCCTATTATTTCCCTTTAAAAACGACATGATTTGAGTGTCCCTCTTTTATTATAGAAATCTGTTTGGGTTGCTGTCTGAATTAAAAATCCACACCTGGGTTTTCTCTAGGCGAAACACACAAAACAGCCTTACAAAGTTTAAGGTCTTTCAATTTTGTTGCGAAGATGAAGTTTTGAGATGCAGTTCATCGAGAAATTTAAAGATCTAATTGTTGCAATCTCGGGGCAAACAGGCTGAGGTAATAACCTTCTACCCTCGTACAATATTTGAAGAGAGTTGCGAGTAGTGAGAGACGTTTTAAATCGCGATAGTAAAAGGTGCCTTGCCTCAGGCGTTTAATAATGTTATAAGGTTTTGTTAGGCAGGTGTGAATGACACTGAAGATACAGATGACTTAACCCATGGTGTGTTGGAGATTTGGGGTTCGACACTCAGGGAAACATTGCTTTTCCTTTTTGAAGATAGTGGGTTAAGGTTTTGTACTTTCCTGACCTGCTGACAGAAAAGTAAATAGCCAAACTGTTAAATTTATTGCTGTGTTATGTCCCGTGTGTATGCATGACTGATTTCAGTGTCTTTGGGCTGTGGTTCTGTGATTCTCTTTTCCAATCAGGCTGTTTGATCACACACAGGTGAGATGAGGTGAAATGGGGTTTAATGTCGCGTCCAAGATTATTGCACTTATATAGCGACGTGTATGCACGTGTCGTGTGTGTGTTTGTGTGGCTGCTTGTACTAGTCCGGACTGATGCCGATTTATAGTGCTAGCTCACTGAGATACCATGCCGCAGTTTAACATGAATACCCCACTCAGACACAGTATACTGACTCCGAGCCGACCAGTCCTTGTTTTAGCCCCTTAATGCTGAGCGCCAGACAGGGTAACAACAAGTACCATCTAAGGTCTTTTGGTATGAAGCGGCCGGGGATCGAAACCCCGGACCTTCCGCTCTCCGGGGGGACGGTCTACCACTAGACCACGGTGGCGGTCATCACACACAGGAGATCCTGCATTGTGTTAGATGTGATATTGGAGTTATGTATCGTCAGGAAAAAGGATTTCAGTCCCAGATACACCAGCCCTAAAAATATGACATCCAGCTATTATTATATTTGATATTTAAATTTGAATATGCAACAATTACATTTATACCTTTATTGCATATATTTTCAATAATGTTCAAAACGTGAAATGTTTGTGATTTGATTTCAAATGCCGTTTTGATTGTGACATCGGTTTGAGTGCCAAGTGATGAGACGAGCCATGAATGGTACAGCTGAACCAAGCGGCTAATCTCTTGGTATTCTGGTCCCAACAACCAGCAAAAGTTGAAAAGTGCTATTTCTTCTGATATTTAAAGGGCGTACTGGTGCCCCAGTCGCCTAAGGCT